AGGTGCTTTAGACCACTGAGCCATCTCTCCAGCCCTCATTGCCAAAGACTTTCAAGCCAGTGAGTTCTAAGGCCTTTTCCAGATCTCCAGCATATTCAAAGTCTACATAGCCAAACTTCTGATTTGTACCGATTCTGACATCCACAGTAGTGAGATCATTTTTAGCAAAAGCTTCACTGATACTAGTTTAGTTCAGGAGCAGATTTGTTAGAATTCAGATTTCCAACAGAGATTGAAAGCTGTAGTGGGTTCTGTGCCTTCTGTTCTTGGTTTTTTGACTTCAGGATCTGCCTTCTGTTTTGCCATTTCCTTCTTTTGCTTGCCAGGTACTTCTTTGACAGGATGTTCCTCCTCCTCCTCCTTCTCATCATCATCATCTTTGTCCTCTTCATCCTTATCATCATCTTCATTCTCATCATTTTCATCCTCATCCTTGTCTTCCTCCTCCTCAGCCACACTCTTGGCTTTGATAGGGGAAACTTTTGCAGATGCTTTCTTCCCTTTGGCTGGTGTCATTACCATGGCTTCTTACTCAGAGTCCTCCTCCTCATCATACTTGTCCTCCTTATCCTCCTCAACCTCCTCATCTTTATCCTCTCAAGTGGAGGCTGCAGTCACTGCTTTCATAACTTTTGGCTCAAATTCCTCATCTTCATCCTCATCTTCATCTTCCTCCTCGCTGTAATCTTCATCATCCTCATCGCTGTCTTCATTCTTGGCATTTTTGCCATTCTTTGCCCCTTTGGCTGTGGCAACAGCACCCTTTTTACCTGGGGCTGTGACAACAGATTTACCAGGTGAGGCTCCCTTCTTGCCAGACACTGAAACTGCCTTGGCAGGAGTCACTGTCTTCTTGGCAGGTGTCGCCACCACTTTTTCCCTGGAGCGACAACTGCCTTCTTGGAAGGTGTGGCAATTGACACCTTTTTGGTTGGAGAAGTCGTTACTTTTTTTTTCTGGAGTCATTACAGCCTTCTTACTTTTTTTCCTGAGGGATGACAACCTTTTCTCCACTGCTGTCATTTTCTTCATTTTTGACATTTCCTCATCATCACTTTCTTCTACCTCCTTTGGAGGAGGTGCCATTTTCTTTGGGTCGTCTTGATTTTTACCAGCCTTTGAAAGCTTTACCATGATGGTGGTTTACAGTGGCAGAGTGTGTGGTGAGTAAGTGGTGCAGATAAGCCTAGGAGAAACCTAAGCACTGTAGATGGTGGCCATGGGTTCTGAAGACTCAGGAGTACATACACCTGGCAGCCGGCTACAGCTAGAGACTGACTTATTTTTCTATTGGGAAAAGCTGGCAGGGACCTCTAGCTCTTTGAGCATCACTTCCTGGCTCAAGTGAAGATCCTGCATGGAGTGAGGCTGACTAGCTGCCAGACTGGCCAATAAGGACTTACTAAATTCCAGTCTGTTCTGGTATCGGTCTCAATTTGAATTGAATCCAGTACATTTTGGGGGCTCAACCTGGACCCCATTTATACTGGGACAAAAGAGCTGAGATTTTTTTCTGAGTGCCTATACTCTTCAGGGGACTAACTGAGAGACATGCCTCAGCCCTGAGTAGATTTTATTGGCCTCAAAAATTCAAATTCCCCTGAGTTCAATCCCTGGTTCCACAAAAAAAAAAAAAAAAAAAAAAAAAAAAAAAATCAAATTCCAATACTATTTGGAAAAGAGCCATCAGGATTCTTACTTGTTAGACTGTTCTAGTTCAATTTGGGGCACCCATCAGGAGTGTTTGGAGGAGTTGGATGCAACATTATCCTCAAGACTCAACTCCAGACCATCGTGGTAGCTGATATTCTCTGGTATCTGGTATTTGTTTCAGGTTTTGTGTTTGTCTTTGTCCTTGTCACTATGGGTTAGTCTGCTTTTCATTGCTGGAAGGAAGATAAGGGTTGGAGGACAGAGACCTGTGCCAGTGTCCAGCAATAGACTGGGTTTTTCCCCTAGTCATGATTACTTGGTTCTCCTCAGTGGAGATGACAGGTAGAGTTAACATCAGGCCAGAGGGAATAAGCAGGCCCAGGGCCCTTCAGTTCTACTGGACTACTTGGGAAGCTGAGTCTGAGTTCTGGGAATGCTGCTACAGAGTGAAATCTCACTACAAGTGGCTGCCTTGGAAGTCAGGGCATGGCATGTGGGCCTCTTGAGGCAGTCCCTCTTATGATGGCCTGGCTTTTGACAGCAGCAGCAGATGAATATCATCAGCAGGTGCATTGAGCTCTTCTTGGAGCCCAGAGAATTAGACTTTAGGCTCTGTTTTGAGGCTGCAAAAAAGGCATCCATTTTTATCTCTTTGCTTTCTCTCCCTGGTTTTCTCCCAGTTCCAATTATAGGACACTAAGAAATAGTTTTTATCGAGTGAGTTGTCTGGACCAAAAGCTAGCTGTTTTCAATATCTGAAGCTAATTGAGAAATGAACTTATCTGTGTACTGGGTGGCAGGTGGAATGGGTGGGTTCTGAGGGCATCAGTCTGAGGCTGAAGGCCTCCTTTTGTTGGCTGGAGAAGCCAATGCAACCAAGTGGGACTGGCTGGTCAACTGTGACCTCTCTTTACTAAAGCTACAGGGACTTAACCTCATACAGCCCAGGTGAGCTAAGTCTTCTTGGGTTTCCTGCCTCGTTACATTCCTTGGGCAGGGATACCTTCAGGAGGCTTTAAAATCAGAAAGTTATATCTTGCTCAGGGGCCCAGGAATCTGATAAAAGCTGCAGAAGTTAGAAGGGCTTCCAGGAATGAATTTGTAGTCTCCTTGGAAATCTGTTGATGTTATCATTTGGCTGATGCATGTTTGCTTCTTTGGATTTGTCTCCTCCAGATTTAAAGCTGTTTCACCTACCCAAGATAAAAATGCCTGTTGTCTGTTGAGGGCCTTTAGATAGAACATCTAGAGAGTATCTCTGACTGCTGGTTCACAATTATGACCCATTTCAGCCTGAAGAAGTCAGAACAGTCATTGCCCATGGTTCCCTTATGGCAGTTCAGGTTACTTGTTTGGGTGTGTGTGGGGGAGGCAGATGTTGTAGGCAGCTGAATTAGATACAAAAGAGGAAACTTCCTGGCCAATATTTCAGCTCAAGAGGTGGCACAAAAAACCAGTGAGGCCACTGGAGATATTTCCTGTCCTCCCACCCTGAGTTCTAGAAAACAGACTCTCTTGTTCCTTGCTGTCTGAGTAGATTAGAGAGCAAATGCTGTTTTTTTTTTTTTTGAGGACACATTCTACATTTTATTTACATTTTAAGACTAATCTCAAAATCACATATCCATACACCTATTTCCTTTTGTTGATTTCACCTAAACTTAAATGCATGGTTTATTTAACAAAGACTATAAACAAATATTTATCATGTCTGTTACATGTAACACACAGGAACAGCTTTTGACAGAAATTCATCCACCCTCCCCCAACATTATTATTATAAATACAGGTATCAAAACAATCCTGAACATATTTTTGATACTACTAGTAGTCAGCACCCACACTGCTTCAAAGATTAACACAGTTTGTGACAATATTCATTGTGTCTGCTACTCTGAACAATTTCAAACTGCAGCTTTCACTAAGTGAGATGGATAAGCATGCCATTTGTTTTTCCTTCTTGAGATTTTACTTTTCAGAAACACTCGCTTCCACTGACATCTGACAATTCTTCCCGTGCTTTCCTGAACCTATGTAAACCTGAACCTATGTGGAGTAGTCCAGGATCACGTTTAAATGAAAGTGCCTCAACAAGAGAAAGAACAATTGTGCTGCATTTTTCCTGTTACCTGAAAACATAATGGGTGAACATTTATTAAATATATCTTGACAAATGTCCAGGTCATGTTTATCAGCTGGAATTCTTTTACTTAATGTGTGGGTATTTTGCATTGTTATATTTAATCAAGACATTAATATGAGTAGAAGGTTGTTGATTTAAGACAAGTTTGAGATCCACTAAAACTAATTGTTGTATGTTTGTCCTTATGGTGGTTGTGGAAGCTTCATATTTTCTTTGGACATCATTAGACGTCTTAGCTCTTGAAGTACAACTTTAATACTATATGAATTTTGCCACTTTGTTAACACTGGTATGCTGCGTGCATCCCCATTCCACTGGAACTATTTATTCCATTCATATTAATTTTTGTTACAAATCTAAGTGATGGAGGAGCTTTTGGGTACTTAGGTCCACATTCTACTTTCAGGCTATATATTCTGTTTTCATAATTTGTCCTTGGTGGCCCAATGATCATGCCTGTCCACCTCGTAAGTGTCATGTCTTCATCATCTTCAAGGCCCCAGCTAACTGTACCATTGCCTACTCCTTTTTGTCCTTCTTCAAGTTCTTCCAACAAGTGAGAATTACGAGGAACTTTAACTCCTGTGGAGACTGCCATCTTCTCCTACAGCCCGACGCAGCTGCCTCGTGCTGTGATATTTTAATGTTGCATATATGATATTTAGTGGTGTTGGAAACCTCTTTTTTGGTGAAGTAGCAGAAGAACATGTAAAATAATTGGGGTGTAATGTAGCCAAAGAAAAATATTAGCTCTAGAGAGTCATCAAAAGAAAATTGGGGACTATTCTCAATGTCTCCTTGGATAAATGACCTGGTATCTGCCTTAATTGGACCTGTTTTCCTGTTTCTTTTGGCCTGACTATCAGGCCCTGTATTGTGAACTGTTTAAGTATGTTCAACAAAGAATCCAGATCGTCAAGTTAATGGTACTTAGAGCTCAATATCAGCCCTTAGAAGTAAATGAAGAATCAATGATTCCAAGATATAACAAGTGGGGAATGTAATGGGTTGAAACCACTGTGGCTCTTATTTTTCTATTGGGCAAAGCTGGCAGGGACCTCTAGCTCTTTGAGCATCACTTCCTGGCTGAAGTGCAGATCCTTGAGTCTGCTAGTGTTGTACACAGCTGATGTGTTTCCACTCTAACCATATCTTGTAAACAGGCCCCATTTGGGGCAAGTTCTGCTTATCACTAAAAGCTGTGAAAACCTCCTAGTCCTAAACAGCTTCCTGCTATATCAACAAGGCTTGCTATAAAGGACTGAACTCAGCTCTGCTTTGGTGTGGCTGGTTAGCGCCTCCTTGCATGGAATGCAGCTGGCTAGCTGCCGGAGTAGCTAATAAGGGCGACTGATTAGTGCCTCCTTGTGTGGAGTGCAGCTGGCTAGCTTCCAGACAGGTTTCTAAAGGCTCACCAAATTCAAATCTGTTCTGGTCTCAGTCTTGATTAAGTTTGAACCCTGAACACTGATGAGATGAATGTGTGCTATATTGTTGGAGCATAGAATACTCTGTAGATATCTATTAAATCTATCTATTGAATACTGTGTTTCAAATATAATTTTTGATTTTGTTTTCTTGGCCTGGGGTGTTGATGCACCCATTAGGATTCTGTCAGTGTTTACTTGATCTCTCATATCCAGGAGTATTTCTTTTTTATTTTATTTTTTTTTCAGCATAAATAGCCTTTTACCAATTCCTAACTTAAGACAACTAAAATTTACAATCATGTGGCAGTATAAATTTTTAAATTACAGTTCATACAACTTGACAATCAAGATAGTCTAAAATACAAAAAGTAAATGGCCCTTTAGCTGAATTTCCTTTTTACATATTAGGTCTTGCTAGTTAATCTACCAAAAGAAAGTTTCAGATGTTCTTTAAATACCTTTTGTAAATGTCATCTGTTAGTAAACAACATACGCAGGGTCCTAAATTTTTTCTTCAGTCTACTCATGACATTCAACAGAGCTCTTTATACATCAATATTAAGAAATAAAGAAAATTATAAAACAAAACCCAATAAACAAAACCCCACAAGTTCTAGGGGACTTACTTTTGAATGGGCAAGTTATTTCCCTTTGTTTCAGATATGAGGCACAGACTTCTGAATTTAAGCTCTGTAAGGCATAGTATAGACCTCCAATTTACAAATAAGGAATTCTCTGTGGGTTGGAACTGCCCCATCACACTAAAAAGAAGGAGAAATCATCTGTAAACTGGTACACTGCGATGTGTTCAGTGAGTCACAAAACGGCTGCTTGCCTTGCTATACTGAAGAAAGGTTGCTGTGTGTTGTGTTTTGAGTAAGACATGCCAAAGTCACCGTAAAACTCGCCACAAGCCTCCACACCTAGAGCATCAACAACAGGAGTCCAGCAGCACGCGCTTGGAACGCTTGCAATCACAATAGAAGAGAAAGCATGAGTAAACTTTGTTTTTATACAAAACTGAAAAGAATCCCTTCCCGCCCATCACCCCTTCAATAAAACCCCAAAGAAACAACAAAATATCCTTTAGCTTCGATTGACTAATGTGGATACAATTAGGTTTCTATGCATCACTGCAGCTAGGGTGATCAATTTTTTCCATTCTCAAAAGAAGGGAGCCTGTCATGCACCCCATGATAAGCAGTGAAGCCACAAACCTCAATTCTGCATAGCAAATTCCATCCCAATTTCATAAAGACAAATATAACAATCTCTCCCTGTTTTGCTCAGCTTCTATGAGCTTTGAGATCAGGTTTAATCGACTACATCTACTATGTCTCTACTAAATAGAATATCTTGATTCCCTAAAACTGTAACACTTATGATCTTGTGATGAGGTTTTTTTTTTCTATACACACTATAGGCCATCAAATGTTTACTTTTTTTCTTTTCTTTTTTTTCTTTTTTTGTTTTTTTTGTTTTTGTTTTTGTTTTTGCTGCACCAAATTTAAGATTGCCCTTTCAGGCAAGCAGTGGTCTCTAGCTGTTAAAACTTCTCCTTAGTGGATCACAATAGCTTCTAAAACTGCCTTTCTAATAAAGGCCATCAGAGAGGTAATACTAAACTGTGCATTTGCCAAATAAGAATATGAATTGTATAAAAGCTCATATTCCAATCCTAGATCAAATGGCAAAAGTTCTACAAAGTTGGTTTCCATGTTTGTATAAAAGCTCCAACTGATTTTATGTATTTTGCTATGAAATTACCTTTGGGTCTTATGATCAGTATACCTCTACTCAGGAATGTGCAAATGATTTTACACAGCACGATGCTAGTACCGCTCTGTATGATAGTAATTTTTTTTCTTCTTTTCTAAATGGAAAAAAATATCCCTAGTCAGAAATAAACTGACAAATTTACATTCTCCTCTCTTAAAAAAGTAAATAAAATAACATTATTCAAAATGTGAATTAGCTATAAGACATACAATACAATTACATAGATACATATCAATACAGCACATTCAATTTGCTCAAAAATTAATGATTACAAAGCCAATATGGATGCTGCAATATCAAGAGAGAGGTATGTACAATGATTAGAGCATTCATAATTGCACTACACCTACAGGCGGGATGTTTGTTAATTAAATTACAGGTGCTTTTCTGAGCAAGGAAAAAAAATAGTAACTTGTGTGTTCTGAGACAAGGAGAGGGAAGAACATGAACATCTGATTACTGCTGAGTAACTCTGGTGCTCATCTAATAAGCTGTTAATTTTCTCTCTCCCCTTTGTTACTCCAAAAAAGTGATTAATGTAGTTTAATCTAGTGCCAAATAGTATTGAGACCAGCATCATGGCCTAATTCTAGCTTCCTAGCAGCTTTATAACAATCCTGATTTATTTTCTTAAATCACACTTTAATTTATGCTGCTTGACAGAGGTTCAACAATACATGTGCTGCATTTTTTGCATTTGCTGAAAAATTGCACAAACAGAATTCTAAGCGTCTCTCCTAGTAGGTTCAGTTACATAAATACACGTTCAACAGAACACTGAAAGGGTACATCTGAATGAAGTCCACAAATTTTCCTCATGTTCAACTTAAGCAGTCACCAGTTCAAGAAGATCTGGAATATGATAAACTAGTAGTCATTTTTTTTTTTTTCTTTTTGCAAATTAAAGGTGTCAGGATAATACTATCAACTGATGTTCTTGGCAAACTTACTTGAACTTAACATAAAGGGTAAGTAAAACTGGCTTCAAACACAGAGACATAAGCAGATTTCATGATAAACCATAAAGGATACTTTTCTACACTGCTTATTGGGACAATCAACATGGGACATGGACAATAAACAAAGCAATCAATTGTAAGGGCAAAGGAAAGACTGGACTGTGAGAGTCAAATTTACAGTTACCACATGTTTGGCAGTTGGTATTTTAGATTCATTCTCAGCCAGTCATCTCAGGGTTCACAGTCTTACTCTTTTACATTTTAAGATGCTGGCTTTCATTAAGCTCTTTTTACTCTATTTTCGTTTGACAAAAGGCCAGCTTTGGCAGCTCATACCCACCATAAAAACTTTTAAAATTGTGGCCCAAACACAAAGGAAAAAAAAATAGGAAAGGAAAAGTTGGAACTAAAAAAACAAGAACAACCTCTGAAAAGAACCTATCTGGATAGCAGCCACAGAGGGGATGTAGTGTTTGTTGGCATATTTTTTTGGCATCTGCAATATAAAGAGAGAAAAAGATGAGAGAAAAAAGAAAAAGGAAACAAGAAAGAGTGGAAGGACAATGGCACATGGATTTCAAAACAAAGGACTCCCACTGTGTATGTCTGCCCAGCCTTCCAATTTCTGAGCATTTTTTGGGCAATGAAATTATGGATAAGGTCAAAACCCAGAAGAAATAATGTGTAACTGTTACAATGGGCATCCACTGTCCTGTCCAAAGTGAGACAAGACTATATAGATACAAAAAGAAACACTACATGTATATGGAGCGTAATACAGAACCATAGTAGTAATACATATAATCCTTCAGCAAATATTACAACTTGTTAGATTAAGCTGATGTAGGATGGCTTAAATCGAATGATAATGTCCTGACTATCATTCAAGAGAAAAACTTGACCAAGAATGGAGCTAAAATAAAGGCTGCTGCAGCCTGAAAGAAAAATTCAGGAAAGAGATATGG